TTTTAGGGGAGAGGAACCTCAGCATTAATGCCATACTGCTGCCTGCTTTGGTGGTACCCCAAGGCCCCCAAGCAGAATCACAGACCCTGGCTTGTGCTTTATGTGCTGCACCAAGGAGCCACCCGCTCCAGAGATGTTGGAGACCAAACTGGTTCTGGATAGGAAACCAAACGGAATGGATTTGTCTGACCTGGCCTTGAGCAGAGGAAGATCTCTTTGTGGACACTACTACCAACAGGACAAACCCTTCCCATCACAAACTAGACAAGAAAGGAATACAAAGGTGGTGCTCCCTACGGCTATCTCCCCTCTGGACTGAAGACTCCACAGACAGATCCTGGCTGTGCAACAGAATCACATCATCTTAGATGGAAGGACACCAGCAAGGACTAAACCCACCTGAAACGTCATTGATATTTCAAGAAAGGGTTAAAGTTTCAGGCTAGGCAGTGGTGTTGCAACACAGTTTTAACTTCACAACTGTAAAAAAAATTCTACTGTATGATTTATCTGTTGCACAAGCACCCAACCATGGCCAGATCCTGCTGCCATTAAGCTGCCACTAGAATCAGAGCAGTGGTTTTGGTGCCGCCCAAACATCTGCACAGCCACCAGGGAGCCAATGCCTGTGCACATGTCCTCTGCTCCCTCACTCCGCTTCCCGCCGGAGCCTGTCCTGACCAGCAGCAGGAAGAGTGCTGCAGGAGCCGCCTGCCCTGGCTGGAGAGCTACTTGGAAAATCCAAGGGCTGAAGTTTGCACTAAAATATTTACAAACCCCTATGCTTTTGAATTATACAAGAAAAAGGCTACCACAAGTCAAGTTTTACCATTTTACAACACAACTTACCAATCAGATTGATTGCACCTTTTAAGTTGGTATAAACCCCCTTTCTGAGCAAAGTCCTTTGTACCCACTTTCGCCAAATACCTTTTTTTTTTCCTTCCAGTTGATATATAAACCTTTGAAAAGAAGTTTGAGGGAAGGCTGACAACCTTGAAACCTCAAGAGCAGCATGGCATTGACGGGTGCTGCTCCCTGAGCCGAGTATTATAGCTAGATTTTAATTTCATTTTAACAAAATAGCTGTCTCCAGTGGAAGAAGCATCAAGAGCTAAATGAGGACCCGTCTTGAGCTGAATCACGTTGAACAGACCTCAGCACTGTCATTGATTTTCTGGGAAGAAAAAAACTGCCTCTGGCTACTAAACCAAATTAGTAGTCACTGATGACCAATTATTTTGCCCCACTGTGAACGGAGAGACGTACTAAAATTCCAGTTTGTCAGACCCAAGGCTCTCTTCTCAAACACCTTTCAACAAGCGTGTACCAAAAGTCCCTCAGATGGTTCTGATGCCTTCCTGTTTTCGGCAACTTCTCCTTCTCCAAAGTTTTAATGAGCTGCTGCTCTGAGATGGCCTGCCAGAAAGTGAGCCCTTCACAGCTCAATAGAACACTATGTGGCATGGCACAAATCACAGCTGTCAGAATTCATACACACATACACAAAAAAAGACAGCCTAATGTTTGCAAATTATAATTACCATTTCTCTTGCATGTCCCTGGTGCCTTCGTTTTAGATAAATCCCAGCTCTGAGGTATCAGCTGCAAAGCACTGAAGGCTCATATTGAATGGAATAGATTTAACTAGTTTGTAGCTCATTTAAGGCCTACACTGTTTTATTTTAATATTGTTAATACTTTATTATACTTTTTAACATTGTTTTCACAGTAAAATAGCCTATTAGGAGGCTGCAGTTTCTTTTCCAGGAGACTTCTGGCAGACTTGCGTACCTCATTGTATAAACCAAGCTAGCAGATGCTTGTCATTGAAAATAGGTCTGTACCCTGCCTCTTGAAAGTAAATTAGAGAGAGAGTCTATTAAAGAGACAGGAACTGTTTCAGTGATAATAGTTTTGAAAATGTGCACAGATAAATTTTAAAATATTTAGGAAATGTCAACATTAGAAGTGGCTCCAACTATTTGACTATAAAAGGAAGCACCTGATTATTGTTTTCCACAATTATAAATAATTCGTTACATCCTATCAGAACTTCTTTCCCTTTCCTGTCTGTGGCAGGGTGGTTGTGCCAAAACAAGGAGATCTGAGTTACTCTGAGCAAGATGGATTTTAACCCACTATAACTGTTTTCAGCGGATGCTTCCCCTGCTCTCCCCACAGATAACGGCAAAACCCTCCCAGTTCAGAGGAGTGACATCTGGGCAGGGTGACAAAAGGAAACGGAACACACAAGTCATTTACTCCTGTCCTTAAGTAACACCAAGGCAAAAGGACATTTTCCCAAAGGCCAGCTACAAATGAGAAATCCTGTCACACTGCCAAGCAGCACCGATAGAGAGGCCAAAATTCCCCATCCACTCCGATGAGATCAGTGTTTGACCTACAAAGAAAAAGCCACCTTGCTGAAATTTCTCCAGTAACTTTAGTCAGAGAAGTGTGTTACCTGATAGCCCCTGTTCTTCCCCACTCTATCAGTATTTCTGTCACAAGAGGCAGGAAAAGACAGATGAAGCTTCATGTCCTACAGCCCCACCAGAGCTTACGTGCATAACTAAGCACACGAGTCATTCCCACCGATTTCAAAGAGGCAGTTCATGCGTGTATCATTCCAGGCATGATTCTATACTTTGCTGGATCAGGACTTAAATGCGATTAATCACACGGCAGGGAAGGATCTCTGAAGAGCATCAACCCAAATGTGTCCTTTCAAGCATTTACTTACAAGCCAGCTGTGGACTAATCAGTCACCAACTGGCTGGTCCAGTGGAGATGGTAAAAGTCACCTCCATAGAGATGTGACAACACATTCAGCTACCACAAAAATCAATAATCAAACACCACGCACAAAGACTCAATGTTTTTCTACGTCCCTCCCTGCTATTTTTGCACACCAGGAAAGCTCTTGCCTTGGAGAGCAAAAGGACAGGCCAAGGAAACAAGTCCATGTGCAAGGCCCACCATGTGCTTGTGCCAGGAATCCCAAGATTTACACCATGAATAAGACTGAAGGCCTACCTAGAAAATAAGACACTTGACCACAGGTTTGCCACATCTTTAATACTTTGTAAATATTTTGCCCTGCTCTGATCACTATGAAATGCCAAACTGGAAGGGAAGAAGGGGAAGAAGAGACAACAAAGGGTAAATGCTGGGTGTCACCTTTGGCACTGGGTGTCTCCAGACAACAATCTGGAGCAGCACAGCTGATTTGTAAGCAAAGCCTTGAAAAGCCCTGCAGCATGTGATCTATGAAACAGGAGGTCTGTAGAAGGATGTCTCCTCTGATATGAATGCCCCCTTGGGATGTATATTGCTGGATTGCACATCTAGTATCATTAGAAAACACGACCATAGATTAGGCTGTTTTGAAGCATGTGGTGTGCAATAATTAAGTAATAAAAGTCACCACAGGGGTGAAGGAACAAGAAACAGAAGAGTTACTATTTGCATATGCGCTGCTGGTGCCCTCTGTGACAGTCAAAGACTCTCCAGACTGCTAAAAGCTGGCTGCTACCGATTTTTGACCCACTCCTGCCAGAAGCCACAAAGCACCAGCTCACCCTGTGGCACATGGGCTCTCTACAGAAAATGACTTTCTGGACCTGGTGGCCCAGAAGCCACCCAGCAGTTAGTCCAAGTCCCCAGTATGTTGCAGTTGGTCTGGATAGGCAGGGGAAGCACTGCCTTTCTTTCATGGGAGCTGCAGCTGAAGGCACTACAGGCAGGAGCAGAACTGGGGCTCCACAGTCCTTGGTTGCTGCTGAGATGGAAGAGTCCCTCCCCAGCAGGTGTGCGAGGACAAGGACCAATAAAACTTGAGGTTGAGGTCCTCCATCACCTTCAAGTGTTTGCTTCTGGGGGGGAAAGAATAGCAGCAGGACCATAGCAATAACTGATAGGCTGTTCTCAAGGCAAGAACCCTGCTGCTGCCACTGCCAGTTCTGCCTCCCATGGTGACTGATGAAGTATCCTCACTTGCAAGGAGCAGGACTCAACCATTTCAGGCTGCAGCTCTGCCACAAAGCGATAAGGTTAACACCAGCTCAGAGCAGCTGAACAGGACACTGGCCAGCAAGCAACTGCCTTTTATTTTTACTGTTTTATTAGAACCATGATCATCTGTATCACCTCTGCTGCTGTCTCCTCCTGGCCAGGATGCTCCTTGGTACCCTGTTTCAAGGGGCAAATATATCTGTGTGAGGCACTAGACCAGGGCTCAGCATTCCAGCTCCCCTTTCTGCTGCAGACACCTGACCACCTGCATTGAGTCCATTTTTGTCTCTATTCAGACTGCTCAGAACAGCACTTACTCCTCTCACCCAATCAGTCATTGCGTGTTTGTGGGTTTGGTATACCAGGTATGCCATAGTAGTGATATTTGAATAGCAAAAACACTGTTATTTCAGCAAAACCTACTTTGCACCCAGTGGTTCTTCCACACAGCTGCCATGGCTGTATCCATCTGGAGGTGACCCAGCCATGGCTGCTCCTGTGAGCCCCGGGATGGCAATGCAAAAGCCCAATTCTCTGCTTCCAGACATTGCTCCATTCGGTGCTTTCATTACCCACCATCAGGTACCAGCTGGGAAATGCCCTCCTGGAGCCATAGCAGGGCCCAAAGTTGAGCCACAGACTGTGGTGCTTCATGGTACTTCCAGCACACAAGGGCTTGAGCAGAGGTGGTAAAATGAGCCCTGTAGAGGGTTATGCAAAGATAGAAATTGTGCCAGTTCTGGGGAATGCTCTAGCACAATCCTGCTACAGGTTATCACAAGGGTGTGCAGGCTGTGGAGTAGGAATTGAAAATGAATCTGGGTTCAAGGCTTTCTTGAGGAAGAGAAAGCATTTCCCAGTGTGAGGGTTTATTCATGTTCTCACCAGTCACACTTTCCAAGAGCGGAGATATGAATCAGTATGGGGAGGTAAAGAAATGTTAACACTGGAGATTATATTGTTGTCTTTCCACTGTTTTCCAGGTCTTGCGCTCCCTTCTTTGACCTCCTTCACCACAGATACCAGCAGCTGTGGATGGAGCAGCAGAGAGCCCTGACAACAGCCGAGCGAGTGGAAAAGAGAAAGGTGCTAATACTCCAGCAGTGCTTCCCCTTGCTGTGCATAGCACTGCTGCCAGGCACAACCCCACAATGGATGGCGTTCCCCAGCCATGGGAAGGGCTCTCAGCTGGGAAAGCATCCTCCCTGACTCAGGAAGGCTGGTGAAGCCTAACAAAGATGAGCTGCTTCCCAGCTGAGTCTGGCTTCAGCCAGAGCATCCCCTGTGGGAATGAACACCAGATATGCAAGTCACAATGTGTGTGCTCTAGAGGCAAAAGAGATGTCATTTGTGGGGTGGGGGGTAAAGTATTTTTGTATCTGAAGCTATGCACAGGAGCTGAGCAAGTTCTCCAGGGCAACAGTGCTTTGGCCAAGGCCTTTCAAAGGTTTAGACACCTGTCCCACAGAGACACTTCTCTAGCTATCATCAAGCATCTGTCTGCATCAATATGCCTCTAGGTACAGGTTCCCCAGCTGAATTCCCAGTATCAATTACAACTGAGGCTCTGCTTCTTTTTGCATTCCCACAATAGTAAAACACCCCTACGTAACAAAGAACTACATTTCAAATTATCTTTGGTGTTTATATCATCCTCATGCCAGGAGCTTTTCAGGCTGTCCCTTGGACAGCATCAGCTCTGCTCAGGTTACCTGTGACAGTGGACAAAGCAACTGAATAACTATTGCTTTGGTTCAATGGACCAGCACCAGCCCTGATCCTGGCATGGTGTGGTTGATGCCAGCACCCACAGCAGTTGTTAGAGTGCAACGCTGTGCTGTTGAACATACCAATATTGTAAGAACATTCAAAAGCAGCCAATGACTGTTTTATTAGTTAATGGCTCAAAGAAGAGTCGAGCTAATATGGTAATGACCAATTTCAATGGGCTTACTGCCACCACAAACTATGCTTTATAGTTGAAGTGCAAGAATAGAGTGTGCTTAATTAGCAGCTACTTTATGAATACACAAGCCTAGGGTGCTCAAAAGTGCATCCCTACCTTATCTATTAATGACTGATGTTTTTAATCACTAGGATCCCTCCATCAAGTTCCCAAAGCCTGCAGCCACCAATTACTCAGTTAAAAACCCAAATCCTAGACCAAAGAGCAGACAGATTCCCCAGAGTTTCATACAGTGGCCAAAATATTCACCAGGTACCTGCACTGGCTTGTGCTGGGACCATCAAGCACTGCAAGCTGCAATTAATCAGGAGAGCAACACACACAAGACAGCCAAGAAACCCTTCTGTAGTGGGGGTGCTGGAAGTGACTTTCCCAACTAGTGATGAGCCATTGCTCTAGCTCAGAGCACAGGCAGCAGTCATCTCACTGGGATGCCATATAAAGCAGACACTGGGAGCTGGAAGCTGCTCATGTTTGTCCCATCAGTATGTTTTAGATATCAGTGTTGGCTGCGTTGACATGAAAAACCACGCAGATCAGGCACTTGTGATCATCCATCTAAAGAGACTTTTAGTCTTGTTCATCTCTGTGTCGTTCCATTGCCTGTATACTATATACATCATGACACTATCCTGAAGTATATAGCTCTGCAGCCATTTCAGCCCATCCTTGTTTACCTTTGGTTACAGAAAGAGAAAGTACATGAAACTCGCACCACATTGCTGCGAAAAAACCCACTACCTCCAAAGGAGGAGTCCTTCTGGCACCTGCCCAGCTTGGAGAAGGTATGGAGCACTTGACTGAACTCAGGGACACTTCTAACCTTGCCCACATGCCCTGATAACACACAGGGTCTGGATAGGAGACACCTTAGTACACAATGAAGGTAGACATGAGGCTCTTCCTCAGAGGTCCACAAGATCTGGACCCTAAAATGGTCCTGCACTGAATATGTTCAAACATCAGTCCCTTTTGGACTTCAGAGTGGGTCAGTTTTCACACCCATAGGCCCTGGAAGAGAGGCAGCAGATAATGGTTTAATGACTTATTTTCTAACTTGTGTTCATTTTCATGCCTTTTCACAAGACAAAAAGCATCTTTTAATATCTCACAGTTAGTACTGGGTTAGCTTTTGTTTTCTGCTGGTATTCCCACAACTGCCCTATACAAGCAGGACAGTCAAACCTACATTTTGGTAGCCTGCCATTTTATCAGCTCTCACCATAACCAATTTAAACCACATCAGAAGTTTCAAGAAGAATTTTTCACCCCAATAAATAGCTTCCCAGAAAGCCTGCACTTTTGATACCTCTCTAAACTACCTGATAGACAATATTCACCTTGAGAGTGAGCAGAGGGTCTAGCCAGGTTACAGATGTGTGTAACACTTCCTTTAATTGAACCAAATAAGAGCTAAGGTGAAGATTTCTTGTTCTAGCAATGGGATCTAAACACCTCCCTGAATTCATCTGTGCATCCTGCTATGCTCTGGGGTACTTGTTTGTATTCTGTTAGCTATGTTTCTGGTGTAAATTACAGGGAAACTTCAAGTGAAGAGCTAAGGGGTATTTTAGGAAGGAAGGGAAAAGAGCTGGGCAAGCAGAATGGAAAGGAGACTCCAGAAAGTCTAAAAACACTGAAACCCTGCAGGGAGTTCATGTGGCCAAAATCATATCTGGCATTGATAGATACCACTGCAAAGAGCTTTTCAGCCCTCTGCCTTAGCCCTTGTTCTGATGGGGTTGGTTTTTTTGCCATGCTGTTGATTTTTAACTGCAGTTTAAAACAACAAAAGAAGGCTTGTGACTTCCTGAAGCTAATTTATTTGTACAAGTTGCAGAGTTTCAACCACGAAATGTGTTTTGCACCACCTTGATGTATTCCTCTTACGTCCTGTCTAAGACTGTCCGATTAGCATATGTCAGTAATCATTTATTCCCCACTGCCTGTCAGCACAGAGCTGCTGCTGCAGCTAGTGTCAGGGAAAGAACATGACCGATCGCTGTTAAACAGATTGTGTAAGTCACACGAGATACTGGGGCAAGCCTCCTCTTTAGAGCTTCTCTCACCCCAGACCTTTCCATCACTATTCATTTTTCAGCCTGTGTTTTTCTTCATGCTTTCCCTTTTGTTTCATCCATGACTGTGGTTGGGTTCCTCCCCCAGACACAGCTCCCAGACCTTCGAGTCTTCTCCTCTCTGCTTTTCTCCTTCCTCTCCTCTCCCCTTCCTTCCCAGGAACAGCATCTGGGGAGGAGAGACAGCTCACTTTGCAGAGCCCCTGCAGATTTTCTGTACTCCTCCTCTCTCATTATGTTGACCTAGAAGGTTTGCCTTTCCCCAGCTGCAGATCTGGGACAGGCACAGCCCATGTTAGATCTTGGATCAGGAAATTCATTACTCAGTTGAGTTTCAGTGCATCGTTTCCTCCATGGAAAAATAAGTTCTCTTGAACATCCATAAATGTTTACCCAATTAAAAGTAGTAACAACCCTCAGAAAGTTAAAGGTTCCAAAGGCACTTGGTAGCCTCCAAACTGTGCTTTAACTGTCTCTGTAAAGTTGGTGGTAGAATGGTGTTGAAAAACAAACTGGACCAACCTTGCAACCAAACTCGGGGACTTCAGGCGTCACTACCAATTCCACCTTTGTGAGGGTGACAACAGAAAGCAGTGCCCCAAAGAGATGAAGGACCTTGTTCTTGCAGTGTTTCTCTCCTCATGAAACCTTTCTCAAGATCTTCTGTGGTCATGGATAACTACTTCATGACTTTTTTTGTTTTAAAGACTCAGTGCCCTGCAAAGGCCAGCAGTTCGCACTAGCTACTGTAGGCAGTTTACCAAAATACTGTCTTTAATCCATATAACACCCTCATCCTACTTCACAAAAAGAGGTATGGAAACAAACCACAAAAATATCACTTCACAGAAAGCTTGTTAGCAGACTCCCACCTATTATTTCCTGCCTTCAATGACACTGACCTGCTCTGGCTATTACAGAAGGTGCTCATTACCTGAGAAAAACTTCAGACTCTGGGCAAACTCTAGGGCTGGTGTAGGAATGTGATATGTCCTTAAGCTACTTGCCCTTCTTGTCACTCAGTTACCCCATCATCTGGCATGATGCCTTTCAGCCTGGCCTGCTCTGGGCCTGGGGAGAGCAGTGCAGAGCACCCAGCTGCTGAGATCATTGTAGCCCAAAGCAGGGGGCAGCAGGAAGATGAGATTTTGTTCCTTCAGACCCATAAAAATCATCAAGGAGAATTGTTCTATTCCTATCCTGACCCCTTACAGAGAACTGCAGAAACTGGGCATGGCTGTTAATACTGGCTCTTAATCTGGATTTTCTTTTCAGTCCCTGCAAGACTATCTCCTGGCCCCATGTTAGAGCTTGCAGAGGAAGTGGAAGACAAGAAAACAAAGGAGTTTTGCCATCCCCACTAATTGCCTCTGCTTGCTCCCTGCATTGCCAGGGCTGCATGACATTATATAGTCATTCAGTCAGTAAAGTATAGACAAATTGACTATATTTTCATTTGGATTTAAGTTTCAGCCCCACTGCTTTAGAATAATGACCCACACTATTAAGCTAACCGGGTGATTTACAGGCTCTCCCACACTGGGTGATCACTCCTACTCCACGTCTCGCTCTAGAGGACTGACCTGGCTTGTGGTCTCCTGGGCCCTCCAGCTCACTGAGACAAACAGGTCACAGGGAGACAGTCATGTCCTGATGGGCAGTTCATTAGGGAAAGTTGCTGAATTGGATTTTTTTCCCCACAAAACCAAACAGAAGTTAACTCCTTACTCACCTCAGCAAAATTCTTCTACTGCCCTCCTCTTCCTCAGTCAGCTCCCCCCAAGACAAACAGCCTCTGCCTTGCTCCGCCTGCAGTGACATGATTCCTGAGCTCAGATTTTGCCAACACAACTGGGACTATGCACCAAGACTTCATGTACTTGTAGATGTGGGACTATATTCCCTGGGGTCTGTACCTCAGGCACCAAGCGTGGACATAAATATATCCCTGCCCCCAGTCTTCATGGGATGTATCCTGTCCCTGTATCACTCATCACTAGCATCCTACTGGCCCAGGCAGAATGGCATCCCCAGTGTCAAACTCTGGAGAGGATGTTGTTGTCAAAATACAGCATCCCCACAGCCTCGCCTCTGCCAGTCCAGGGTGAGGCAGCAGCTACCTCCATCTGAACATTTGATAGTCACAATCCAAACCAGTGAGTCAATGCCGGCCACTCTGCAGTAGATTGGCAGGGTTCTGTCAAGTCAACCAGAAAATTCAGATGGCAACCTCTCACACAGCAGCAATGTAGGACACAATTCACCTGTGTGTCAAAATAGCTCCATGCACTGCGTATCACTGACACACAGCAGGGTTTTTCCTTTGCTCATTAGAGAATTCCAACTTGCACAGACATTCAGGGTGGCTTTCCAGGGAGAATAGTCTTGTTTACTTGACCAAACAAGGGGAGGAAAGAAAACGCAGCAACTTTGGACAACACTTCTGTCAACACCCACTGCCTTCCCCAGATGAAACAAGCTGCACTCAATGCACGATATGAATAAGCGATAAGCAATTGAAGAGCAAGTGTTCGGGTACCTTGGCAAAAGACTTAATTTGCAACCTGGCACAAAATCAAAGGCTCTGTCAACGGCTGAGCGGCTCTCCCGCATATGCCTTGCGTTACCTGGGAAAGCTCTGTCAGGTAAATTTCCACTGAAAGTAATTAGAAGAATCCCCACCGTATAAACTTTGCAGCAAAATTCTGGGCTCCAGAATTTGATTCTCACCAGGGATCCGATACCTGCTCACAGCCTGATCCTTCATCAGAATTAACAGTTGAAGTTTAACACGTACACACAAAAATGTTCCATTTCTTTTTAATGCCTTACCTCTATTTTTATCTGAAGAGCTGAACTGACAAGCACAGCTCATGTAATCTTGCTACTGTTGTCTTGTCAGAAAAGCCAAAGACTCTTTAAATAACCTGGGCTTAATACACACAGTTGGTGAACTTTTCAGATATGGCATTTGTCCTCCTCAGGTTTGAGGGCAACAAAACTTCACGGAATTGGAGCGTTCCAAAACTTGTCTCCAGAGGCCTAAAGAGTGGTTAAATAATACAGGAATGAGTTCAAGAGCTTTCTGCCACCATGGTACCAGATCAAAGCTCCCTTCAGCTGGGATTTTGGCTGACCAAGAGGAAAAAAGAAATAATCAGAATATCAGTGTCACCTGGTGGCTGTTCAACAGTCCAGCCTTTCCAGTATCCCTTTGCATGCGTGCTGGACACTCAACTTCTTCATCACACCCTAATGCTGCCCTCTGCCATGCTCAGCACTTCTTTGTGTCTCCCTGAAAGACATGCTAACTCATCATTCCCCTGCCATTTTCATTGCTCTCCAACATCTCCCAGTTGACACAGGAAAACACCACCCCTGCACCATCTCCAGGCTAAGCTGAATCTACATCCAAGCCTGGGTGCTCAAAGGCAGCACAAGCAACTGTTGGCAAACAATGCCCATTGCTGTTATGGAGCATTCACACATGAAGGAACAGATCTGGCGGGCCTGGAGCCTCAGAGCTTGGAGTAGAATAAAGCCACACACACAATGTTGGTGAGCACCAACCACTGCTTTCAGTGATACCTACTGTTTCATACACAAATCCACAGAAGTGCTTTCTAAATGGACTTGGAATTTTGTTCATGGACCTATTCTGCCTTCTGCCAAGATGCTATTTACCAACAGACAGCTTAGTTTGAAGTAAAACTTTTGCCTGGCATAAAAAGGGTCAGGATTCAAATCTCAAACATATGAGGTCAGTGCCAGCACTGGTCTGATACTGGGACATCTGCCAAGGAGGGCACACATGAGGTTACAGCTTCAGTGGGTTAACTCTCCTTTACTCATCCTATCACACAGACCAAGTGACCAGTGAGCTCCAGCAAACATCTGTGGCCCTTAATTTCAGGGAGCAAAAAAATCCTAAATCTCCATGGGGCATTAAATACAGCAGCCAAAAGTACTGTCTGAAACCTTCCTGTGTTTGAAGCAGATAAGGATCATTTAGCCCAGGCTCCCTTGTCCTGCCTTTCCCTGTGTTCTTAGAATTAGAAAGGTGAGGAGAGAAAAAACCAACCCCATTCATTATACCAGTTTAAGAGCAGTACTGCTAGGAAAAGCCACAGTATTTGTAACCTTAATAATCCAACACACACCTCCAAGCACAGCTCATCTTGGACAAAATAACGTCTGTTTTAAAAGTACCTGCCTCTCTCTAACTTGTCATGGCATTTGTTGACAACCCTATTGAAAGCTGCTCTCAGTGCAGCTGTGAAGGATCTTTCAGCACCTCTTTCTCTTTCCTAGACAGTTTTTGAAAGGGAAGGGGGGGGGGGGTGTGGAAAAAAGCCATCAATACAGGGGGAAAAAGGCATCAGCAGCCAACATCAGCTGATGAAGCGTCTCACCTGGGCCCCCAGCACACCGCCTCCAATTAAATCAAAATGGTTTGTTTTTAATGGTCTTTTACACTGACAAGTGGGCTATCATTCCAGGCCTAGAGAGCTGTCAGGGAGCCGCGGCAAATCCTCCGTTGATAATGCCCAATGCTTCCAATTAGGAGCTGAGGCCGCTCCTGGCGCACTAACGATTCCCCAGCCTCCCCCAAGGCCCCTTCGGCGTTGGCTGTTTCGTCTTCCCTCTTCCTCCGCCGCAAATTACTGACACAAAACGGAGGCGCCCCGGTGCCTCCTCACCACACCGGGCCCCGGCCCTGTTGGATTTAATGAGGCGATGGAAGTTTTTGCGGCTCTTTCGCTAAATTCTTTTCTTGTTTGACAGCTGCTTGAGTGTTGACCTTATAAAAGATTTAGTGTTTCTCATTATTTTCTGTCAAGCTTTACAAGTGATAGCTTCACGGAAATCATTTGCATCTCGATGTGCACGCACGTGGGGTTTTGTCTGTACGGGGATGCTCGGCGCGGTGTGCGTCAGTGTGTGCACCCTACCCCTCTCTTCATTGTGTGCTTTATTCCCTCCCCCTGAAAAAAATACCTACAAACATGGGACTGGTGGTTTGGGGAAGAAAAAAAAAAAAAACCAACAAACAGGAAAGGACTTAAAAGGCCCAGGATTTGTTAGACTCCTGTAAATGAGGGAAGGAGGTTTGGAAAAAGGAATAGAGATTGGTTTGCCATAAAGAGAGCTCAAGAAAGTGTTTTGTCACCAGCTAAAAGGATTTCATCAAATGGATGATGGAAGAACTAGGCTGAGGCTAGGTGCAGCTTTGTTGTTAAACTGAAAAACGGCACAAGGCTGGGAAGCTGCCTTTGAGGAGCGGGCAGAGCCAGGCGGGTGCTGCAAGAGGAATAGATAGAGCCACATCACCCTGCAGCCAAGCATGGGTCCTACCAGGGGAGGGAGAGAGCCTGGTGCTGCTTATTACTTGCTTCAGCCCTTTTCACAGGTTCTTTCTCAACACCTCCCACAAATCATCACAAACCACTTAATCCACCGGTATTAATTAACTTCCCCCCAACAGCTAAGCTTACTGACCACCCAAGGGTGCCCACAGTGCCCAGCAGCACAGACACCCCAGCACCCACCTGACAACCTCAACACCAACAGCACCCACAAAACCCTTGTTGCTCTCTGGGGTATGTGCTCTGCTGCTGTCAGGGGAGCTCTGCCTTCCCTGCACCAGCTTAACCTTTCTGTATCTCATATGCTATTCATTAGTCCTCCATTAACATACCTACTACTGCTTGCAACACGTGTTGTTGTACTAGTGTTTGACAAGTGACCATTTACACTCCTCCAAAATATCATAATTGAGAAACCCAAATGAAAGTAACACCCAAATACATATTTAAGTTTTATGAATGATAGGATATTTTGTTATTGCCCCGCCAATTCTTTGAGGCAGGCACTGACATTACAACATCCCAGCTGCAAGGGTCCTGCAGGTTTTACTCTGTCAATAACAAATGCATTGAACAACAGCAGAAGACTGCATCTAATCAGCAGCTGAAAACCATTGCAGTTCCATCATCCTGCAAGGAAAACCACCAAGCTTCTGCCTACAAACTATATTCCTGTCCTGCTACAGCCAGTGCTCCAAATCCATGGTTCAGACAAAATCCTGGCGTAACAGCCCATGACCACACCAGAGCAATGGTGAAGATCACCAGCTGTCTCTAGAGGAAGTGCCTTTGGGTTCATCATTTAGAATAAGGATTAGAAGTATCAGAGATGAGGATTCATCACTGGCATTGACTTCTCAGCACCAGCCTCTGTCACAGTAAGACCTTTGACCCAAGAACATCCTTATCTTGACTCTAATTTCTAGCCCTTGTTAGGAGAAGGTTTCTCATTTTTTAAGCTAGCACTTGTCCCCTGTCCCACACCTGGTGCTTCCCACTCACTCATGCCGAGGGCAGAAGCTGGCTTCCCTCACAACTTTGTCAAGGCTCTGCTCATTTTAATTACTGCCAGTGTGGCTCTGTGACATTTCTCACCTGGGAGCCCTCTACCAAGACTGCAGTGAATGAACTGCTTCTCCTCCTGGCAGCTTCAACCCAAACCCAGGCAGAAGTTTCCCCTCTGCCCAGCTCCCAGCACTGGTGGGCAGGGAGGCACATTCCAGAGAAGCAGCTCAGCTGCCCCTACCTGCAGGCACTGGCTTTTTCCTCACAGTCCCAGCTCTGAGGGAATAACTCCTGCATCTTTAATAGGAGGCTGGGGATTATTGTCCCTGCAGGTCCCAGGGACTACCCCCCTACTTCAGCAGCCCTGGGTTCTGCCTCTCCCACCTTTCCCTCCTGGGGAGGGGTTATGTCACTGCTGCTACTTGAGAGAGAGCAAAAACATTCGGCAACAACTGTCTGAAGTTAGGCACTGAAATGCATATTTAAGTACCTGAACGCCTTCCTCCGGAGAGGGGGAATAGCTAAATACGCTTTGTTTGCCTTGATTAATGAGATCACTAGCAAGCTTTCCAGGGCAAAGACTGCTCTGTATTTTTACATATGCAAAACCTGACATCCAGCCAGGCTGAGCAGGGTGGGGGAAGGCAGGAGGCAGCTCCACACATCCACACAAGGAAGATGTATGGCACAAGGAATTGTGTTGCGGCAGGTAAAATCCATTCCACCCCATGGCAAACCCAATCCATGCTCACACCTCTCAGTAACTCTGCTTTACTGTCTGTCTGCTGCATGCAGTCGTGTGCGGGTGCTCACCCCAAAGGGCCCAGGGACCTTTCTCCTCCAAATGACTTCCCCTTTCTTTGTTTGCCTTGGGATTTGTTCACCCATCACCACCACACCAAAGGTGGTTCCTGGGGAGAGGCTCCTTTGGTGTTTGTTGGGCATGTCATGCAGGAGTCCCTGACAAGCTCTGAGCCCATCCTGGCCCCTCCCAGTGAAGTACACAAGTCCTGTGTTGTAGAAAACCAACCATATTGATTCCAGGTCCACCTTCAGGTAAGAGAGCATTTAAAAACATCACACAACCAACATACCACGATAAGACTGCATTATCTTGTTACTAGAGCAGAATAAGAGTCTCCTGAAGCCAATCAGAAAACTAGTCCTCACTTCAAACAGGTTAAAGTGTTTAACTTCAGCTGGAGTAGCATCTCCCAAAGCACCCTTGTGCTGATCCAGTCTCTTCCCTGCTTGTGCCACAACCTATCTTCTTTGGCTGGCTGCTCGCTGTAACCAGTTGTGTATCTGCTCCTTCTCTTACAGGTCAAGCCTCACCTCAGTACTCTCCCAGACCGTGAGGCTCGTAAAAAGGCGTTCAGTGCCACCCATTGAGGGGTGCCTGTGGAGCGTGGGCCCCAAGCAGCCGCACAGCACTGTGCCAGGTACCACGGCCCTTGACAGCCACAGGCAATAGGCTTTCTCTCTTTGAAAGAATGCTAATGTAGGTATAGCTGAATAAATCATATGTTTGAGAGGGAATGATTCTGTCTCAGCCTGTTTATTGCTTTGTGTCAGATGCACACCACCTTTACTCAGCCTGATCAGCACGATTCTCGTCATGCTCAAAGTCACAACATCCACACCAGGAACAGGGCAGTGTTCACACCAGGACAGCCCCAGAGGGGAACCTGTTTGTTCTGCACACACAAATACAACCATATCCCAGCTGACATCAAGTCCATAATATCTCATAATCCATCAGTTCTTCTCATTTCTATGCCAAATAAGCCTCACATCACTGCCTGATTCAGCAGAGCCTGTGTGAAGGCACGTAAACATCTGCTTTAAGCACTCTGCCAAGGTGAAGCCTCACCACAGAACCATACCTCCTCTTGAAGAGGGCTCCAGCCTGTTCCACACCTACCCTCAAATAGCTGCTGGTATCTGGTGTCCCTCAGGGATAAGCCACTTCAAGCAGTTACTGAACAAACACAAACTCCACCAACACCAGCTCACCATCACTGCACCCAAACCCCAGCTTGGTACCAACACATGTAAAATCCACCTCCTACTAACAAAGCATTTCGCCTTAAGAAAACACTTGGTCACAGCTATGATGAACTGTGCACCTCCAAGACTGCTAGAGGAATAATTAATTACTCCTGTGTTACCTGCTTCTCACGTCCATTGCTATAGCTCAGATTGTACCACATACTATTTAAGTCAAATGGTAACTTCCAGGTTTCATGTTCACCAGCCCGTTGGCATTTTGAGCCAAACTTTTAAACCCAAACACCAAAAAGCAGAGTCCTTCATAACATGAAACTGCAGGGTCAGCTTTCCTTACCTCTTTCAGGACAAGGAAGTCTCCACACCCACTGCTCTCATTTCCATGTCCCCTCCTTAGGGGCAGCTTGTGCCTCAATCTGCTTTTTATCCAAGGAAGCAGCGGCACCAAACTCCACCCTGCCCACACCTGAGCTGAGGGAGAAAGGAATCACCTGCTCCACCTGGGGAAACCCTGGTACGGGGGTCCTGCTGTGTGCTACGGGCCTCTAAATAGACCCCATCTAAGACAACCAGGAGGGTAACAGCAGGGTTTGCCATACTCCAGGGTTGGATTATAACTGGACACCTTTCCCTCTCCCCAGGGAAAGGGACCTGGGCCTTGAACAACTTGTCCTACCAAAAATGGCACTGTTTGTTAATGAGTGTTTGAGAAACCCACCCGGGGTCTGCCCCACTGCCCCGCAGGAGCCACC